TATGGTCAGCTTAACTCTTAGACATCTCCTGCCACTGCCCTACCAGATGGGAAGAAACCAGTCAGATGGGCAAACATTTTCCAGGGGAATTAGGGTGAATCTAGGCCATAAACCCTCACCAGGGGAAGGGCAGAACCCAATACAGATCAGAGGAGTTGGGTTTTAAATAAGCCCACATACATACAGGCATACCATTTGCCAACCAGTATATCAAGTTAATTAAATCAATGCACTTTCACTATGAGAAATTTGGTTTAGCACTGTTTTCCTTTTGCCTTTACCTGCTTCTATGCATATTGTATCTTTTTATGTGAAGGAAAAAAACTGGTTAATTCGGTTTTGTTTTTTTTTTTAACTCCTTTTTAACCTTGTTTTGTAACATCATCATTTGTAGCATCATTTATTAGTCAGTTATTGTGCCCCTTGGGATTGTTGAACATATGCAAGTGTCATGTATTTCAGGTTCCACTGTAGTAAGGGGGTAACCGGATGTAAATGGATGCCCGTCTGTTTAGATCTGGGTGCCCATACGCTAACATTAGGCTTCTTTTCAGGTCCGCCTGGAACGCTGACAGGTGGAAATATCGGAAAGCCCATGTGCAAGGGGCCTACGTGATAAACAAAGATTGTATCTGTTCACTATATCCAGAGGGTTGTGCAAATCTGATTCTTCCAAGCATGACGTTGGAAATGCCATGAAAAAATATCTCTCCCTTAAAATAGAAACTTCTCTTTTCTATTTTCTGAGGTTAGGTAAAATAATATTTTCTGAGGTTAGTTTGGAACTTTCTTCCTGCTAGTTGGAAGTTATGCCCCCATGTTCTTGATCTTGGCTTCATCTTGAAAGCTCATCTCCCAGGATTATCTCACCACAACAATATTTGTTCTACTACTGAGCTGCCACCACACCCACACTGTTATGCTGGCCCTATACCAGTAGAATTTCTCTCGAAGAAATTTGTTGTCGGAATGGTCGTTTTCTAATCGTTAATGGGGTGAACAATCCATGATCAGTTTCAAACTGAAATTGAAGGAGCAGGGTGGAACATTTTACTTGAACAAACTAAATTCTAACAATGAATATGGTTTTTGTTCGGGGAAACGTAATTTATTCCAAAAACGATTGCTAAAATCAAACTACATCTCAAGAGATTCAATAAGTCTCTGATGGCATTATTGAATGTTCTGATGAGATTTTTTTGTATAAGGGTGAGGTTTGCTTGCTGCACGTCTGTAAGGCTAGGTTCACACCAGATGCAGTGCATTAAGGCCCGCCTCTGGCCAAAACGCACTGCATCGCGGCCGACTCACTTTTTTTGCGGGGCAGGAGGGTGCGTGACTTGCCATTGAAGTGAATGGCACCATAGCCATGGTTGTGGCTTAGGTAACACGCTTTGTGAGGTGACAGCTCTTATGTCTCCTGATAACTAGGACCTTGTTGCAGAGACATGGGTTCAGAGATTCAAATGAATGGAAAATAACTATACCAGGGTACTCACTATACAGGGAAGACAGAAGGAAAGGGCTGTGGAAACTTTATTGAAATTGCTCATCTTGACCAAAAATATCACCTGCCTGAAATGACAAACCAACTCCATTAACTTGCTGGTTTTACTACATGCATAGCCAAAGCAATTGTCATTGGCATATAAGTTTGCAAGAAAGGCACAGGCATATATAGAAGATACATTAATGTAGCTCCGTATTTATTAGCCCACTGTGAAATGTATTTTTTAGCAGTGTAAATACCTGAATTTGACTTGATGGCAACCTTTTGCAGTCTTGTACAGGAGGAGGGAAGCAACCTAAGGAGCTAATCTGTTGCGCTGCAGTTTAAACATTATGCTGATAGGAAGAGAGAACAGATTGAACAAGATAAGCTAACCAGTCTTTTGTTTCTCTTTTTACTGTCCAGTCACATGCTGGGGGAAGGACAGGACCTGTAAATATTACTTAACTACAGAAGAGCAAAGTCAGGTCTTCTGCACTGCCAGGCAAGACTGTGCTGTGTGGCAGAGCTGTGCACATTTGAGGACTGAATGGGCATAAATACAAACAAACCGCTCCCCTATATGTGTTTAACCTGTGTGTTTAGCTGTTCAGCGTTAAGATGAATACTCAAATCCAGGTGAGACAAGAGGGTTTATATCTATGACAAAGAAAAGAGAAATGATTTCCATGTAGAAATCGATATTGCTTCACACAGCTGACTGCTGTTTACCTTGGCTATACTTATCTTAATCCAGATAAAAACTTTTGCAAGATGTCATTTTCTCAGATTGATGGTGTGTAATTTTGATCATCTTTGTTCACCCACACAGCTGAACACACATGCCCCTGGAAAAGTGCTTTTACACTTGTTTTAATATTGCATAGCTTTTTGAATGATACTATAATACTAGACTAAGTAAGTCATCAATATGAGAGGGGCTGACTGCGATAGCACCTGTGGTAACAAGCAAAAATCCATAACGTGTCCACAGTGTCTCTTCTGTAGTTTAGCAAACGTCCTTTGAAAGCGATATTTCAATAGAGGACTATGGTTAGTTACCAGGGTCTATAGAACTAGCAACACACAAGGGTCTCTGAGTGTTTCTTTACAAACTGTCCAAACCTCAGACCCTTATTATTAACTGATCCTTCTGTGTGTATCCAATGCGCCTTAAAATTTACATCTGATACCTAAGATTTGTGGTTTTCTGTAGTTGTTCTGACTCCGATTGTTGTATTGGCATTCTATCCCTTGCTGAGACCTCTATGCCTGGCCTGTATAAGCAGATATAATCCCTGCGGACAATCCTCATCAGTTAGCTGAACTCGCCAAATACCTTTTGCATCCACAACGAGCTTTATTCTGTGCAGCAGGTTAAAGCAGACAATAGGATACAGCAGATGAATGAATATACGGTATTTGAAGGTTAAGGATGATAATGTTTCCAAGCTAGCATGTACATGTGTTCCTACTATCGGCAGCCATGACACTAAACTAGTTCTTGAAAAAGAAGAGGGTTAATACATCGTAGATGGGAGGGAAAACAGAAAAACATGCGATGACCAAAGTGACCACAAGATAGCAGTATAATAATCAGCTATATTAACATCGAAGATAATGGCTTAAGGAAAATTAACTGTAAATTCTCACTTCACATAAATATGAATATTAACTGTGACTACGAATTGTGATATCTTACAACTGTGTAACAGCACGGTAGTTGTCAATGGAGCTAGCTCCTAAAAAAACCTTCTGGCTCCTGTGTTCGACAGAGTGGGTTCTGAATTCCATATTAATTTGTCCAGCCCTGCAGTAGGCCTGTATACGTGGACGGAGTGGTAAGGTGATGGAGATGGCACTTGCGGGTTCCAACTTTAGTGTACTTCATGAGTCATGGTGGCACTGGAAGTTGGCAGATTTGTTGCTATTTTTTGCAGTGCCACTATAGGAACAGCCCACTGGAAACATTATGTGAGATTGGGTACCTTTTTATAAATCCGTAAAATTTCTACAGATTAAAAATAATTTTGACTTGACTAAGATAAACCAAAATCTTGATTCAGAGAACCAATCTGAGGTTTAAACCCATGTCTGTAATAGCACAGTGGCTTAGTGGTCAGAACTTCTGACTTGCCACTGGGGATCCCTGGTTCGAATTCCGGCCAGGTTGCTATTGCAAGGCAATTGCATGTTCTCCCTGTGGGTGGATACTCCTTCGGATCCTACTGTTTCCTACCACACTCCAAAGACATGCTGAAAGGTTAATTGGCTCCTGTCTAAATTGGCCCTGTATGTATGTATGTATGTATGTATGTATGTATGTATGTGAGATAGGGAACTTAGATTGTAAGCTCCTTCATGACGGTGAGTGATCTTAGATTGTAAGCTCCTTCATGGCAGGGAGTGATGTGACTGCAAATATCTAAGAGCTGTGTAAATTGTCGGCACTATATAAATACCTGTCATAGTAAAGTGTATTATTTATCCATAAAGATTGGCCATCTACAAGTTTTCACTGTTCAGATTAGCAAAATGTAAGCTGAAAGCATGGGATGGTTCAGTGTGGATGATTTGATGGTGACTGAGAAGTTGGTGAATCTTCAGAACTTTTTGAAATAAAAAGCATGGCAATACAGTAGCCGTTTAATGCCAGTCGCGCAAAATGTAGAATTTGTTTTAAAGCTCAGAGATTGACATGCTTCTATTGCCATTCATTGATTTTTCCTACAGATATTTGTATACATCAAGCTAAACCTTGCCAACTAGTGTTTTTAACCAGTAAGCACATATTCTTTCAATCTGCCTAGCCGTCTTTATTATATGGCTGTGTGGCTTTTGAGGATCTACAGTTGTCATTGCCTTGTGCTTGCTTTTTTATTAATGCTCGTGAGCAACGCTGTTAGGCCAGGCGTAGCGCTGTTCCTTCTGTTAGCACTTGCAACCATATTTGAATGCTTACTGAATAAGCATTTCTGCTCAAATCTTGATTCCGGGTTTTAGGTAGCATGTTTCTACTGAGTATAGAGACAGTTTTCATGCCATTATGGTTTTATAAGGTTTGCAGTGATGTGAATAATATAGCGCGGCCTGTCTCCGCCCCCACATCCTCTGCCGGACTGTTATAGGCGGCTGAGCGGTGTGGGAGGAGAGACACCTGCCGTTCACAGCGCTCTCCTCCCGCAGCTCTCGGCCGGCTGTCACTTTCTGTCCTCCCCGCTGGGACACAGAGCAGCGCCCAGCGTTGAGGAAAGAAAGCAGGGATGCACCGATGTATCGGCAGGAAAATTGCACTTTCTGCATTATGCCAAAAGTGCCATTTTCAGCCGATATGTTTCGGCGGCCGATATATCGGTGCATCCCTAGTTCTAACCCCTCACCATTCTATCCAAAAATCTAAAATACATTTTGGCTACACTTTAGATACACTTTATATACTTTACTTGTACTGTCTTATTTTCAGGACTAAAGATTTATTTGTTCAAGCTAAATTACAGATTTCATGTTTCAGAGATGTGGATTGTTCCTGAGTGTGACATCTTCAGCATGGGATTGTGGTCCATAAGTATTGGAGCTCTGGGAGCTGCAGTAGCTGGAATAATACTGGCCAACACTGATTATTTCCTTGCTAAAACTGCAAAAGCCACTCTGGACTATCTAGGAGATGCCGACCTAAAGACTATATCAGAAGGTAAGGTTGATGTATATTGTCCACAGTCCTGTTTTAAATTGTACATTAGGAAAACTGTCTTGTGAACACTCCAGCGCGCACACACACCATACCACTGACATTCCATATTGGACCTACTGGATTTTCTTTGTCAAAGTGCCAGAAAAAGAAAGAGCTGCAATAGACAGACATTATTGTGCACAGCAATCAATTTGATTTTCATACTCATTCTCATACTAAATACATAAAGGTCAGTAAACCTGTGCAGCTTTCAGATCTGTAAAGTCAAATTTTAAACATTTGCGTTGGAGGTCAGTACATTTACGTGTATGCATATATACGCGTGTCAATTTAATGGAATGGTATGGAAGTAGAATGTTACACGTTTGAATGCTGTATGGGCGTTTACACGCCTGAACACATGTAAACGAAAGCACTTCACTGACTATTTCATGCTTTTTTTTTTATGCAGAATCTTTCAGCCAGACTCATTATGGCTGTGTGCATGAGGCCTATGTATAATAATAGTTACTATTATCATTATTACTATTATGTTTAATAAAGTGGATGTATCAATTTGCTTTTCATACTCCTATATATATTTGCATAGTTTTGGATAGAGTAGGGAAGGGTTAAAGCCCCTGCCACATTATTTTTTTTATGCCCTGTGTAACAGTGGGGAAATCTCCCTTAATTTCCTGTCCTAGAGGCACAGTGAGGAAATAAGAAGAAAGTGAGGGGAAATCCCCTCTTAGACAGTTGTCCCTGTAACAGGTGCCCCCATTAGAAGATTTATCTTTTCATTTTGTTCAGGTGCAAGTCTAACATGTTGCATTTCCCATAACTTTCTCCTTGACCATGGTTACCAATGCAAATAGGGGGATGAATCTCCCCAATGGAGACAAGACAGCAATACAAATTCAACAGAGGGGTCTAACCCTTCCCTATCTAAAGCAAAAACAAAATGGTTTCCCTAGAGATATACTTTAAAGTCCTTTCAACAACAATACAGTCATGTGTAATAACCCACCACACCAGGCACTGCTTTAAGTGAATGATTTATTGTAGGTTGTCTAATGAAAATTATTTCTAATAGGTGCTAAAGGCTCTTGCACTTATTAAAATTAGTTAATTAGTTAATTGTGTTAGTTAATCACAAGTATTGCTATAAAGCAATATAAAATAATTTTAACATCCCTTTACATTTTAAAGTGTATTTTAACTTTTGCAGTCATATTTGAGAAACCCCCACTATGTTTATTTTGTGTTCCTATTCGCACAGCATAAACAACAAATCTGTAAACCTTAGTTGAGACAGACAGTGCCACCACAGTTCAAATAGGGCTAATTGTGGTAAACATTAAGGGGGTTATTCACAAAGCTGTCAATGGCAACCATGTGAATGAACCAGCCGAAGTGAGGCTAAAATCAGCCGTATATCGGCTGCCTTCGGCCAGCCAAGCATGCTCTGGATCTGGAACACCTGGATCGACTAAGCCGAAGCTCCGGCAGCTCACTCACTGCCGTTCACCCCTATTCCCATAGGGGCCAAACAGCAGTGAGTGAATAGCCGAATGCCGCTGAGCGAATGCGGCTATTCTGCTCGCTACCTTTGAGCGAACAGAATAGAAAGAAATTTAAGTAAACGAGGGACAAAAAAAGTTTAAAAATGATCCAGATAAATGTAAAAAAAAAAAAAAGGAAAGTAAAAAAAGTTGAGAAAATAATAAATAAAAATCAATAATAAAACAGCGTGGGGTACCCCTCCCAAACCAGACCAGTTCCCCCCCCAAAGACCCTTTAGGTCTGGTATGAATTTTAAAAAAAATTCATAAAAAAAATAAGTTTGTGGGGTTTCCCTATAAAGTGATACCAGGCCCTTAAGGTCTGGTAGTAATTTTAAGGAGGAATCCCAACCCCAAAAAAACCCTCCCCCGCCATACCAGGCCACATGCCCTCGGCACTGGAAGGGAGCTTTTCCAGGTTCGCCCCTGGAAAAGCACCTAGTCCCTGTGTCTCTGCCCCACAAGCCCTGAGGCGTTGGTTGTGGGGGGGGGTGCGGGTAGGGGGGCTTATTCACATCATGGTACCCCTTTAATAAAGGGACACCCAGATGTGCCCTCCTTGTGAATGAGTACCCATTCACTAAAGGGTTAAACAAAAAGACCTGACTTTATTCATAAATCATTTTATTTGAAACAAAACACAAAGGATTTTTGAAAGTACTTTTATT